CCCTTGTCAGAGGAAAGACTGACAGAGTGCAGGAAAGGAAACAGTCCACAAGGAAGTGAGAACAGAGGAGCCAAAAGAAAATAGACTTGATCACGGTGGCCCCCTGGGGGAGGGCCTGGAGCAGCGGGCTGATTATAGTCTGTCAGCAAACCTGTTGGAGGAGCAAGCTCTGGACCTTCCTAACCCAGGACGTGCCGGACCCCATGCTGGCCAGGCAATCTTCGGTCATAGCTATAATTCCCAGGCAGTTTTCCTAGTAATGACTAGGCCATGTGAAAACTTGGATTTTTTTTCTCCCTCACTCTGAATGAATATTTTATCGGACAGCCTCTTCTTTGGGTTAGCATATGGAATTCTCTTCAGCTGAGTCAGTTGGGCACATTCATAAAGATGATTTTTAGGACCCACCAGGTAATACCATCTGCGGAGGTCACCTCAGCTCTAGCAGTAACCACAGAGGAAGATCGCCAAGTCTCACATGTTAAGAGGCAGATTGATATATTAAAAGTAATAAAAGCCTCTTGAGTTTAAATCTGTGAAGACACAGACCTAGTGAACAAAAGTCTACACAAATGCCAAGAGCAGCATGGACAATTGATGATGTTTAAACCTACTCAACCAGTATAAGCTTAAAAAAAGAAAAGGTGTTGGGAAGGGTAGCAGGACAGGCCCCTGGTGAAAGAGAGCCAGGAGCACCCACAGCTCAAGGCACACCCCGGAGCAGCCAAGGTCAGGACGTACCCCTGAAGGGCAAGCGGAGAACCGAAGTCATGCTCTTTCTCCATGCAAGTCATAGGCCCTCATCACTTCTTTTCTCTACTTCCCCGAGAAAACAGCCATCAAGCCCTTGCCTCATGGAAGTTCAAGGCCCTGATAGAATCTCAAAGTCCAAGCCACCCAAGTCCGAGCCAAGGCCCCCAACAGACCCAGCGAGGCAGGTTCCCGGCTTGTCCATCCCGCCAGGCAAGGAAGCCCCCCAACGCCCCCCCGCCCCATTAGCCGCCCACTCTGGAGACTCAGTGATGGGTACCCAGCAGCGGCATTGTGACAGCGGTGCTCAGAGAAAGAGCAGACACTCGGACGTGTGTCACCGTGCTGTCTGCCAGAGATAACCCCGCAGATTATTTTTCAGATGTGTTTGAAGTAAAATAAAGAAAAAAACAAACAGCAGACAGATGATTAGGGCATGCCATGTAAGGTCAATGTGAGAGAAAAAGCAGGCGTGTGTGGTACTTCAGTTTGCTCAGCTGTCTGCAGGATGCCCCACATGGAACGTGTATAGCTGACACGTTACAGGGAATTCAATCCAACTCTGACAAGCACAGAGTGAGAAAGCACCTCAGAGCCTCCCATTTGCCCACGCCGCTAAGCCCTCTGCTAGCACTAGGCGTTGAGCTAACCCCATGATTTTGAGATGCGGTGCTGTCAGTAATCCTGAGGCATTAGGGGAAAGAGGAGAGATTTTAGGATTTGGAACCTGGTGTGGAAATAGCGCCTTGTTTTTCCCAAAGGGAGGAAGTTTGGCTCAGGAAACTTGACACTGATGCGCTTTCAACTCCTCGCAGAGATCGCTTATGCATACGTGAAACATACCGGTCACTAGAACCGTAATGAGCCTAGGAGGAGAAAGCAGACCAAACTAGTAAGGGTGTCCTGTAAAACGCATGAGCTTTCACGAGTGGGTCAAGAGACCCTGTGGTACCTAATGCATCTTGATTTAACATAATGTTTGAGTAAAGTCTTCAGGTCCCTATGGACAAGATAAAGAAATGTTAGGTGAATGATGGTGTGTGAGATGAAATTGATGAGTGTGGTGACAGCAACTTCGCGTGACTAACAGCTGGAACCCTGCAGCTGATCTCCTTACAGTCCTCTATAAACAGTGGAGACAGAAATCATACTAATCCAATTTCCAACAGAAAACTGAGAGGGACAGTGATACACCCCAACTGACAGAATCACCAGAGAGCAGAACCCTCAGAACATGCACCGAAGTCAACATAAATGTGATAAATGTAAACACGAAACATGCGATTTCTGTGGGTTCCGCTGCAGAAGTACAGAGTCGGGAACACTGGACTGAAGGGTCCTGGCAGGGAAGGAAGGATGCCCTAGGGATTTGCGAGCTGGTAAACATTTAAAATTATACTCAAAAAGGAATTGTATCCCGGCAGGGAGTTGTCGTATCACTCCCTCAAGTTAGCTAGTCCACATCTGAAGTGTAAAATCTTTCTGGGGAATTGCACTGACAGACATGTCCAGTGCATTGTAAGCACACAGTTTAATTTATAAATTTCTTTGTTGCTTAGATTTTTTTTTTTTCATTTTTCTGTGTAATGGACAATAAGGAATAAAACTACCATCGCTTGTTCTCCAGGAACTTACTTTATAAAATTCCAATCAAAGTGTGTTAGAAGCTGAATGCTTTGGTGTAATCCACTCCCCCCAGTCTGCTGAGCTTGAGTGATTGGTTATAACAGTGATAATTCTTTCATTGGAAATGCAGGTTGTTTTCTCTGAATGCAAAATTTCCTATGTTGCTAATTTATTCAGCCATTGGTTGTCAGGACTATTCATGCAAATCACAAGCATTTTCCCACCTCTTATCTTGAGAATTGCACTAAAGAGATTTTAGATAGAGAGAGGAGAAATTCTCGATTTACTCAAAAATAAAAGTGGGTAGTTTTTTAAAAGTGATGTTTCCCAAATTGACAATTTGTTTGCCAAGCCTAAAGTATCTTCCCTATTAGATTTAAACTGCTAGCAGAATTAAAGGGGAAAGATCCAAAACAACTGTTTATTGACATTCAGTGAATGACCTAGAAGGAAGTTACCACCTTTAAAAGGGGCGAGGTGAGTCACACACACACACACACACACACACACAAGCACATGCACTCACATTACTGTAGATTACTGATACTCTGTATGGCGTAATAGCCTTAAAAATGTTAAGATTTCATAATCTGCGGAATCTGATATTACTAACTGATAAACTCTAAATACAACACAAGACTTTATGTCAAACCAAGGGGCAAGAAGAGACCCCTTCACATCACAACAGCTGGATGTCTTGTATTGACTTGATGTTCAATATCAATTCTTTGATCTTAGGTCAACTCTTATACATTCATAGGGTAAAGAGGGGTAGCTGGTATTTTTTTGTTTGTTTATGTTTAACAAGATTTCTTAGAACCCCCAAGGTAGCCAAGCTTTGTTTCCTTCATGACTTAGCACTATGACTGTATGCAAGTCCTTTACCCTGAGCCTGAGTCCCCTCACCTGTAAAATGGGGACCTTAATAAACAGCATTACCCTTGGGGGGGGGAGATATTGGGCCATCAAATAATAAAGTAAGACACACAGGATAGTGCCTGGCACACAATACGTGTATACAGCTGTTTGCTATCACATTGCACATCTCTTCTTTGTAACTTTTCTCTTTAGCTTATATCACTTTTTCATATTTTATTTATATCTTCCAAAAAGAACTCTTTGACCTATTCATTTGTGAAGTTCTCCAGTATCTGAATCATCTGCACACAATTCATTCTGGTGCTGTTATTCTCCACATCCCTCCTGCTTGGTCTCAGTATTTTTTTTTTTTTCCCAGTATCTCTGGACTCCCTCATCTGTGATTCCAGGGAGCTCCCTGACCACATGTCCCAGACTGCAGGTCACCTGTCGCTTGCACCCCAGTTTCCCCACTGACACTTCGGGGAAAGTACAGGCTTTTGCTCAGTGTCCTACTCCACTGCGGATAGGTGGCTTCATCAGAGCACAGTCCCCCACCACTGCCGCTTGCTGCGTAACTCTATGCCTCGTGCACAGCGTGTGCCTAGGAGGAAATCAGTGCTCATCCGAGCAGCAGCTGCAGAAGGAAGATGAAGAAGATTATAGACTCAGCCTGCACTTCCATAAAAACGACCTCTAAGAATATAGATGCTTTGGAACCCTTCAAAGGAAAATAAACATCATTGCACTTATGGTTTTAAAATGTAGTTTTTCAAACAAGCTGGCTTACTAGTTCATGCAAAACTTTGGATAAAAATTGCTGTCCCTGAACTTAGCAAGCAGAAGGTAATAGGTTCCTAGTGTTTCAGAAATTAACTCCTGCCAGAGATCACAAGTCTCAGATCCTTCTCATGAATCTCCCTTCTTCATATCTGTTCACTCCTGTAACCAAGCAAAAAATGGTGTGTGTGTGTGTGTGTGTGTGTGTGTGTGTGTGTGAGAGAGAGAGAGAGAGAGAGAGAGAGAGAGAGGGAGAGAGAGAGAGAGACAGACAGCGAGAGAGAGAGAGGAACTCACATAACCTTCCTTGGCTCCTTGAGTCTGTCTCAGAACCTGTTTTGAGTTTCCCATTAGAAAAAGGCTTCTGGCAACTTTATTCTTGCTGTGATTGTTCCTAATAGTTTTGGGTCGAATAGCTAAAGATCTAACTTTAGATAGCCTAATAACATGGAACAATATTAAAACTTGGTTTATTCCTCCAACAGCTAACTTTGGAAGGCCTGCTACAGCCTACAGGCTACAGACACGTCTTTAATCGCGCTTTCCGGAATATTTTAGCCGTAGTAGGATAGCTTTCAGACAGGTCCATTGTGCTTTGTTCACAGCATGTCAATTCACTCCCTTAAACAGAAGGTCAAGCTCTAAAAAGGAACATAAACTGAGATGAAAATCGTGAGGGAAAAACAACCACCTGATGACTGTAAATAATACCTTAAGCAGCCCCAGCTGAGAAGCGTGAATTCCCACTACAGTTCTCTTTATCACACGCATGCCGACTGTTGAGGAAGTAGCTTTGTCTCCCGGTAACTTCATCCCCTAGCACATCTCTTCTGTCTGCTGTTTCAGTGCAAATACAAAAGGTTGTATTTCACTCACTACCTCAGCGACATCAATAATATTTAATCCAGTCAGAAAACAGTTGTAGTAGACTTAGAACCAAGCATCGATTACCTTTAAGTAAATATGGCGAAATTCTCCCTTTGCAGGTGCAAGTATTGGCATTACGATGAAAACCTGCTCACATCCAGCGTCGTCATCGTCTTCCACAATGAAGGGTGGTCCACCCTCATGAGGACAGTCCACAGTGTAATTAAAAGGACGCCAAGGAAGTATTTAGCAGAAATTGTGTTAATTGATGATTTCAGTAATAAAGGTAATGGCTGTGGAATTGATGTTTTGTCTGTAATGCAGGTTAATTCTGAGTAATTGCAAAAGTGGGATATCAGAGGTCTTTAAAAGTTAATAGCTCGCATCTATTGATAGCATCCAGGACCAACAAATGCCATGCAGTGTATAGGAATTATTTTGTTTAGTCCTAACAGTACTCTTGCAGTGGATATTGTCATCTCTGTTTTACACATGAGGTTCAGAGTTCTTAAGTTACCTTGCTGACAGTCAGAAGTGGAAATTAATAGCTGGGTCAAAATCTAAAGGCTCATGCATCTGCTAATTTCTTTATCAGATGTCTGTCGTATTCTATATCAATTCTTTGGGCAATGGATTTTGGGGAAAAAGTTTAGTCATAGCGTTAATTTCCTGAAAGACTGAAAGCATGCAATCACAGGTATATTGTAATGCCAGTTGAAGCTCCATCAGTTGTCACACTGAAATTAGTATATATTTAATAGCCTAGCTTTTGTATTTTTTAAAGATGTATTTATTTATGCATACAAGAACTGGGGTACAGGCTAGAGGCGCAGGAGAGGAGGTGAGTGGGTTCACAAGAAACAGGGTAAGGAACAGAAAAGTTAGATCGACTGCAACACACTGCTGAGGGGAGCAGCAGGCAGGACAGGAGAGGTCTGCTGTGCGCTGTGGGTCACCCCAGTGGCCAGGAATCAAACTCATGCTGCAGTGGCTGCGGAGAGCTTCATAGTGCTGTCCTTTAACCCGTTGGGACAACGGGGAGGGTCTCGATCTTTTGTATTTAAATAATGATACAAATGTTGATTTGACCAGAAATCATGAACTATTTTTATTTATAATAGGAAGTATTTACTAAAGCTTGCTTATGCTGTATTTTGACATGGGATATTGAATAACAGGAAATTGCTTTAGTTTTAGTCTTTTTAAGGAACCAGCTATCACAGCACTTAGGGAGATGTTGGTTAGTCTTGACACAACTTGACAAGAGGGAGATTGAGCGCCGACTTCCCAGTTAAGTGGGTTTTTAAGTGAATATTTGTAAAAATCCATTATTGTGAGCTGAAAATTTCTTCTTAATGACATGAATATCAAAAGGTAGATAGTGCAGTGCTCAGGCCCCAAGTCAGCATATTAAATTAAAAATGTAATCGTGCTGCCGAAAGCCAGATCCAGAGAGTATTTATTTTTCTCTGATAGTCCCAAAACTGAATTGAAACCTCTGAAAACTGACTACTCAGTAACAAGAAGATATGTGCTTTTTAGCAAGTAATTTTAGCAGAGAATTTTTATGAACATGTAATGAAAACCCTGACTGTGAGGTTGTAGAGAAGACGGGACATGAAAACACCACTCACAATGGCTCTATAATAGCTTCTCCCAAGCACAACTTGAAATTCTTGAAGTCTGGACAAACCTCTGTGTTCTTCCAAGGACAAACCCAGAATCTTGATCTCCTGTACAGACATCAGCCTGTAGGAGAAATGGAAATGCCTTCTGGTCCCTTCCCCTTGTGCAGCTAATTTTTTTTTTTTTTTCCACAACGAATTTTTAATTGCACTAACTGGATCTTAAAAATGCATTTTAATTGCCTTTTAATTGCACTAGAGAATGTATAATTTAAAGGTTTTTAATCCTACCGAACACCTTTAGTTGAGCTCCCTTCTCTTGTTTGAATTTTCTGTGAAGCTGTGTTTTCATTAAAACCACTATTCCGGCCTTCCCTGGTAGTGCAGCGGGTTAAAGCACAGCACTAAGAAGCTTAAGCCACTGCCTCATGAGTTCGATTCCGCCTGCCCTGGAGGTGATCACATGGCACGGCAGACCTCTCCTGACCCGCCCGCTGCTCCCCTCAGCAGTGGACTTCAGTGGATCCACCTGTTGTTCTCCCCACTCTGTCTCTAGTAAGTCCTCTCACTGTCCCATACCTCTGACCTGTACCCCAGTTCTTCTATGTAAAAATAAGGTATTTTTTTAAATATTTACTTATTTATACAGAAATGGGCTACATCCAGAGGTGCAGGGGCAGTGCAAGGATTCACCAGAGACAGAGCGGGGAGCAGAACAGGCAGATCGACGAAGTCCACTGCTGAGGGGAGCAGCGGGAGAGACAGGATCATGGTCACCTCCGGGGTGGGGATCGAACTCACACTGAAGCGGCCACGGCTTGGCTCAGCTTCCCAGTGCAGCGCTCCAACCCGCTGTGCCACCAGGGAGGGCCCTAAGTAAAGAATTTTTTAAATATTAAAAACAAATCTAAATCTACAAAGATGACTTTGAGAAACCCCGTGGCTATCATTCTGTCGCATTTAAGGAGCACTGTGCTACCAATATAAGTACAAGTTTAGCATCTCCTAAGAGTGAGGACACGCTGTGGGTTTCCCTGAAATGACTGCATAGCCAAAGAAAAAGAGAACACAGTTTTGAACTTCAGTTTCTTGACCAGTTTTCTTTCATATTTTTTATCAATGCTTGTTTCAAATCTCTGATAATTCAGTTCCTTGCAACACATTTCAAAAAACTACCCACTGAACCTTCTTCGGGTACAGCATGCAGAGTGTTTATTGGGGCTCCCCTTAAACAGAAGTACAGAAGGACTTTACTTAAATTTCCTGATTTCAACACAACCTTAAGATCTGAGTAAAATCAGCCAGCACAGGCTAAGCAGGGACCGGTGAAATGCCACCGGACATGCTCAGACGTGAGCAACTGAGGTCTGTCCTCTCCCTCACACCTCGAGCTCTGTGCTGCGCTCTGTGGACCGCTGCCCTCTGTCCCCCACTGTCACAGAGGGACTCAGCCTTGCACAACAGCCTCATCTTGGACTTTTTGCCTGTTCGCCAAGGGAAAGGAGACATCAGGCGCACATGGGCCCTGAACCTCGGCCTACAAGTTCCCCACCTGGAATCTGCCCCATCTCGTTGACCTCAGCAGGTTCACTGGGTTGGGAGACCGAGTCTCCTCCAGGGAGAGGGTGTGAATATTTTGAGCATTAGTCTAGCCCACCCCTGTGCCATAATGACTTTAGGTTTAGGTGGGTTGCATATCCCCTCGAAAACACCTAGTGCAATTCAAAAGGGGCTTTTTTTTTTTTTTAAGCTGAGGGCTGTAGCAAGCTAAAAAAAAAAAACAGCAAAATGAGAGCTTTTTAAAAATTAAATTGAAGGAAAAATTACATAGAAATTTCAAGGGGGAGAGGATTATAGTTCATCATGACAATTTTATTCATAAATCTCAATTGATGCCAAAATTGAAAAAAATTTTCCTCTCAAATTTGAATGCCCATGTGTGGGTGTTTTGCTAATTATAAACCCCCTAAAAATGAGTAAAGTATCTAGTGCACTGTCAACTTGCCTATTTAACCCCTCGCTCAGACTTGCCTATTTAACCCCTAGCTCACGACTAAACAGCTCTTTGTCTTTATAAGTAAGTAATTTTTGTGTCTCCCCCCCACCCTGCCCCCCCCCCAGAAACATCTTTAGGATCCAGGATCTAGCTGTAAATGTAATAAGCCAGCTTCACAGGTTCATCGTGTGACAAGCCTCTCACCGCTGTGGGGCCAAGAGGGAGACACTGACAAGTGTCTTGTTTTTATAGCATAAGGTTTCCTCCAGCGAATGCAAACGTATATTGCCTGTATTTCATGGTACATTTATGAATATCTGGCATATTCATAATAGGCCTCATTTATATGTAAGTATATGAGTAGTTCGACATTTATCAATACATAAACCCTCACATACATGCCTATATTACACTCGGTGATGCTTCCACGCAGAGAGGTGGGATCTTTCGATTGTCAGTTTCAGCTCAGTGGGAAATATTTCATCCCACCAGGACTGTAGCCTTTCACACTGATTAGAGAAGAAAGACAGCACAGAAGCAAATGTCAGCCTATGCCCTGGTAGATCCAACAAAATCCTATGAAGCCACAAACAAGAGCTGCCCTAGTTAGTGTATCTTCAGAAACCCCAGGTCATTGTTTCTACAAAAGCCAACAGAATATTGTGCCTGAAAGCTTTCGATATGACACTAGCACGTGGATTTTAAGTCTTCGTGGCCATTGGCCTTACCATTTATTTACTGTTCAGAAAGATGTTTGACAATTCTCTGTCTAACCAGTTTCATCTGTCTGTGCAAAATTAATGTCTGCCCAACACACCTGCTGCCTACCTGTTTCTTGAGAAAAATAATAGTTCAATTGGTTTACATACATAAATATTCATAATGTTGACCGCATTGTTCTTATTCACAGAACACTTAAAAGAAAGACTCGATGACTATATTAAGCTATGGAACGGCCTCGTGAAGGTATTTAGAAATGAAAGAAGAGAAGGTTTGATTCAAGCACGAAGTATTGGTGCCCAGAAGGCTAAACTTGGACAGGTAGGAAATATTCGATGACAGCCGTGTCGCCATTTTGGACTTGGTAACTAAAAGACCACATGCGTTGCAAAGCACCCTTTAGACTTTTATATTTTAATTGAAATGCAAATGCTAGCTTAGGTAATGTATGTCTCAAAATTGACTGTGCTGCTATTTACGTTGGCATCTAGCTTGAAGTTGCATGTGGAGTGTAATGTACCATTTATGAGATGTATTCTTTCACCCTGCCTCCTTCTTTTAAGGTGTTGATATACCTCGATGCCCACTGCGAGGTGGCGGTTAACTGGTATGCACCGCTTGTAGCTCCCATATCTAAGGACAGGTAACATTATCTTGCTTTTTTTCCTTTTCATGGTCGAAAATAAGCTTTGCCTTACAAGGACAGACATTATTCTCGTTCTTCTGGATTCCAGTGCATGGAGCCTGTTGTCAGTGTTCTCAACCTGCAAGGTGCTGCGGGAGTCCTCTGGGCTGAATCCCTTGGGATAAGCCTAGATCCTCTCATTTCACAACCATCCTGTGGTTGAGTATTGAAGAGATTCCCTCTAGCCCCAAAAGCTTGCTCTAAGAGTAATGTTAACTGCTTGCTCTAAACTGTGGTAATAGTTCTAAAGGCTTGAAGAATGGTACTTCGAAATTACACCTATTTTTTTATAGCTGTTTTAATTATTACTTTATACGGTAATTAACAGTCATTACTTGTGGCAAGCCTTTGGGTTCCTACAGAAGCCGGAAGGTTTAGACAGACAGCTGCTCCATGGAAACATGGCCAACGTCATTCCACTCACAGATGTGAGAAACCGTGGAAGGCAGCATCACTCTCCTGGTTCTAAAATCCTTCCCTGCTTTTAGTTCAGAATTCTGACTCTTTCAGAGCCCAGGAAAGTAAGACATGTCCTGTGGCTAATGGCAGGAGTCAGAGAAAGAGCTTGAGGGTGTAGTCATGGGAGGTCTCCGATGAAGGCCTATCATAAACCTTTGTAACAGGCTCTCCGACTTAATCCTCGTAGCAGCCCTGCAAGATAGATATTCTCTGCACCGCTGTCCTAAGAGGACGCCAAGGCTGGACGGATTAATCTGCTCCAACCTGACAGCTGAGAAACCATCACACCGAGATCTCTCTGCTGGGGCATTTTACTCTGTGCCATTGATTTAGAAATCTGGCAAGCATGAGAAGTGAAAACTAACAGTCCCCAGGGTGTCCAGGAAGTGGGGTGCAGGGGTGCTGTGCACTCCCAGGGAGCCCCACAGGCCCCGGCGTTGACCCGTGGGCGTCCACCCGCCGGAGGAATGAAGCACCTCTCTCCAGGCCACTCCCCAGCAGGGACGCCTCGGCGCTGCAGGTGGCCCCGGCGCCTTGGTTTCTAAACATCTAAAAAGTGCCTCACCGCCGCCTCCCTTCTAGGAGTGTGGGTTGAAGCCCTTGTGGGTAAATGCGCCCCCGCCTGCCGGGCGCCAGTGCCCGCGACTGCGCATGCGGGGGAGGCGCGGTCGCGCGAGGGCAATCAGCAGCGTGTTTGGGCTCAGGTGGTCACGCCGTGATGGCAGCGCTCGTTTTGAGGGGTATTTTTCTTGTTTCCTTTTAAGGCAGGAATACAAACAGTGGGCTCCGTTGTTTATTTATTACATTAAAAAGGTGTAGGAAAAAATCAAGTAAAAGGGCAGAAACAGATGTTCATATTAACTGCTCCCAGCAAAACAGAAAACGGCAAAGGAGGTGGGAGCACTAAGAATGTAGCACTTACCGTGTTTTTAATCTTTCTGCACACCCACGCATTCATTTTTCACTGGATGGTTTAGGAGGGGAAATTACCAAGAGAAAGCCATTGAACCAAAGTGAAAATGAACCCACACCGCTAAGTTCAAGGGCAGGGAAGTCTCCTCTGCCCAGCACCAGCCAGTGCTGACTCTTCCGCTTGTGTGGAACGTTCATTTGCTTCTGTTTCTTACTAGTTATTTAAGTGCCCTTGTTTAAAAAAGAAAGAAAGTAAACACACCCACCACCCAAAGAGACCCTCTCGTTCGGCTTGCTCAACTAGTCAGTGATGGGTTCTTAAATGCTTTTTCATTTTCTGTAAATGTTTCAGAACTACATGTACTGTGCCTCTAATAGATTACATAGACGGGAATGATTATTCCATTGAGCCTCAGCAAGGTGGGGATGAAGATGGCTTTGCCAGAGGGGCCTGGGACTGGAGTTTACTGTGGAAGCGTATTCCTCTAAGCCACAAGGAAAAGGCCAAAAGAAAACATAAAACTGAGCCTTATCGGTAAAGATTACGACTTTATTCTCTTACCTTGAATGTTGACCTAAGTGCCTTTTTTTTCCTTCCCCATGTGCTCATATAAATGTGTGGGTCCATACATCCCCTTCATTTCATCTTTGCTGCCATCATCAACACAACACAGAACCATTTGCACTGTGCCGATTATAGATGTCATAAACGGCAACACATATGAAATTGTACCCCAAGGGGGTGGTGACGAAGATGGGTATGCCCGAGGAGCATGGGATTGGAGCATGCTCTGGAAACGGGTGCCTCTGACCCCTCGAGAGAAGAAAATGAGAAAGACAAAATCCGAGCCATATCGGTAATCACTAAATCACTTACCTGTTTTTCTTTTCTCTGGTTGCTGCTATTAACCTATTAACCTCCCTTCGGGCTACCAAATCTGTTAGTAAAACGCTAGGCGCGGTCTCAGAGTCCAGAGGGCTTCTCTCCTTCAACCACAGTCCCGCGTCACTTAAGAGCAAGATTCATTGCAAAACACGTGTCCTTAGGCAACAGTGTCACACCCCTGGACGCGCAGCCGAGGACACACCTGCACCCCATCCAGGGACCCCCCTGGGAGACTCAGACCTGTATTTCAGGGACTTGAATCCGTGTTTGCATCTTTTTGATTTTTTTCCCCCTAAAAGCAAGCCCCGTTTGGGGAAGAGGCGTGTTATATGGCACTAGTTCCAAAAAACATTAAAAAAAAAATCTTTGCCACCCTGTCCTCGTAGACTAGACATTAACTGTCACCCTTCTGATGATAATGGCATTCTGTAATTTTAAAATGCTGCCATGACTTCCAGTCCAAGCTTTATTCCATTTAGATGGCTTCAGTCTATTGTTGCCAATGAAAAGCAAGAGGTTTTCTTGGTTTTTTCTTCCTTTTGTTTTATATGCTAGTTCTTAAGCATTGCTTTTGTACCTGTTAAATCTGATGAATCAAAGTACATGACTCTGGAAATGTTTTATGGGATCTTTACTTCCTTTTCAGAAGAGGGAAATTTTACTCCACAGATTGCTCTTGGTATTTCATGGAACAATCTATGCCACGCTGTCTATGCTACGCTGTCCTCTTGGTCTTTTAATTGGGACATTTTACTGTTTTTCAAAAGAATGATCCCAAATGAAATGTTTTCTCAAATGATTAGTGTAGCTAACTAAATGTTTCTGATTGTATTTTTCTGACCTTACTGTTCTGCTTTTGGGCTCTCTCGCTGTGAGACTACTGATAATGCCAGAACCTGCTTGGGAAAGGTGTTTCTGCTCTCAGTTAGCGTTGGGGGACTGGACATGTGATGATATCCTGGTACTGAGAAGGCAAATGTAAAGAAACTATAAGACTTTATACCTTACTTGATATTTTCCAAATTTTCCCTCTCAAATTCTTTTTCAAAATAGCCCAGGCAGCTACTGTGATCATTTAACCTGACTAACAAATATTTCTGGGGGGAGAAATAGAAATGTAATCATATTTCTGCTACTTCTATAGACTCATCTAGAGATCATTTTTAATGAGCTAGAAATATTTAAGGAAAGTCTCCCTTTTAAAAAAAAAAAAACTCCCTGGTTTTCATACTAAATGCATTTTCAATATATTTGAAATGAGGGAAATGGGAATATATTTAAAGATGAAAATAGAGTCGTTTTAAATGACAATTAAGTAAATGTGACTTGAAAATATAGCCAAAAATCAAACTGCTTTAGTGAATTAGGCAGAACACTTTAGGAAAGAAAGCCCTGCAGAATGACTTTTCCCTGATGTGATTTTCCTTTAATATTAAAAATACTAGTTGATTCATAATTTATCCACTCAACAAATATTTAACAAGTGGTACTATGTGCCAGCCAGTATTTTCTGGGGATGAATTTTAAAAAAAGATATGTTCCCTGATGACACTTAAGATACAGGAGATGAGACAAGTTAAACAGAACTACGCTGGTTAATTCTAGAACAGCAAGAGAAGTACCCGGGAACTCGGCCAGCATGACGAGGAGGGTCAGTGTAGCCTCCCGGACAAAGTGTCCTTGCGGTGGGGGTCCGAGGATGAAAGGTCAGCCCTGTGGAGGAGCAGAGAGAGCATTTCCCAGCGGGAACTGTGCAAGAAAGGCCCTGAGAGAGGAGCTTGGCGTGTTAAGGCCCTCTGCTGAGGGAGCAGCCGAGCCCCCAGTCTGCTCTGCCGCAGCGTGATTCAGCTGGAAAGGTGGAGAAGAGAATACAGAACACAAGTTAGAGAGCCCCTCCGCTGGCCGGGCAGTGGTAGGTTGGTCTAGGATGGTGCCAGTGAAGTTAAAAAGAAGTAGACAGATTCAAGGTAAATTTCAGTAGGAGCGAGTGACAGATTAATGCTAGGAATGAGAAAGCGGGTACTCTGTCTAATCGAGGAGTCTGCTTAAGGGACCGTGGTGTATTAATGATTAATTGGTATGGGGGCAGAGCGCAGAATGAAAGTCATTACCCTGTCACCTCTGCTTGTGATGGGGGGGGGGGGTTGGCTTGTCCCTAAAAAGTACCCAGCTGGGCTGCTGCTCAAGAAGCCCTCAGATCAGCCTTTTGCATTTCTGCTTCCTGGCACAGTAAATAGCTATGTCAGAGTCTCCTGTGTCGGTTGTGTGCTACATTTGCAAACTCTGAATGAACTGTGGCTGTTCTGCGATGATTTACACCCTTATTTGGCAAGCCCCTGAGCTATAAAATTAAAAAATGACAGACTACTTCCATGGTGTATGGTTTCACTCATCCCAGAATGACTCATAAATCATTACAGGAGCAGTTAGCAGACCACGACTGTACAGCTCAGTATTTTTTTAAGAGTGCAAGAGAAAATTTCTATTTTAACACCGAGGGCCTAATTTTTAAATCAACAAAGGGACTAGGGCGCCCTCTACTGGACGCAGTGATGCAGTGCTCTAATTACAAAATGAACTATAGATAGTGTCACTAAATTCCTTAAGGAATTAAGAACAGACTTTTTTTTTTTAAGGCTTTATACTTTCTTAATACTTGGCCATCAGTTTTGTCTCTCCTGCACACTGTTTAGACTGTCTTCCCCAAGGGCTTCTCTGTCGGTGGTGGCACGCTGGGGTCTCAGTCGTCTTAGAGGCTCACGCAGCGTTTCTTTCCCGTAGGTCCCCAGCCATGGCTGGAGGATTATTTGCCATCGAGCGGGACTTCTTCTTTGAACTGGGTCTGTATGACCCAGGTCTCCAGATTTGGGGTGGTGAAAACTTTGAGATCTCATACAAGGTAACATTGCATTTAAACAAATGTTATTTTTTCTAAGGAGTTGCTGGCTTTCATTATTTTCAGATAAGACTGGGGTGGGGGGAGAGCAGAAGGAAACTGTCATGCATTTTTCAAAACTAACAAAAATGTATACCTTTGGGGAAAAGAAGACAAAACACCAGCTTCGGCTTACTGCATATTTATGTGGCTCAGCTCAAAAACTGAGGCCAGCAAGCTTCAGAAATGAAAATGCCGCGTCCTTCTCCCAAGTCCCCCACACGTGTCCCCATCACCGCTACCAGTGATTCAGGACAGAGGGAGCCCAGCGGTGACCCTGCCTCGGACACCGAGGGTGCTGTCTCCCCGCAACATCCCGGCCCTCCATTTCCCAAAAGAAAGAGAACTGTGCCACAGTCTGAGTCAATCTGGTGCTCGTGACTTTGTCTTAAGTGTCCGGTGCTGAGCACTGTGAGAGACGGAGGAGTCACTCCACCCTGGCTCTCGAGCAGCTTGCCAGGCGTAAGGGATCAGAACAGTCCAGATCCAGGGCCCTCCCTGGTGGCACAGCTGGTGGCACAGCACAGCCAGTGCAGCACCAGTTCGATCCCCGACCAGGGAACTGACCCACATGGCACAGCAGACCTCTCCTGACCGCCCGCTGCTCCTGTCAGCAGTGTATTTCAGTACATCTGCCTGTTCTGCTCCCCACTCTGTGTCTGGTGAATCTTCTCACCCCACACCTCTGGCCTGTACCCCAGTTTTGTGTGCACAAGTAAATCTTAAAAAACAAAACAAACAGCTTAGATCCATCCTGCCACCCCAGCACCCGGGGCAGCCTGATGCTGGAGGTGGGACCTGAGGCAGAACTAGGGAGACAGGCCTGGCATCGAGAGAGAGAGCAGGGCCGAGGGGGTCCGGGGCAAGCCCCAGAGGGGCAGTGCAGGGTTAAACATGAAGCTTGTGGGCAGGGAGTGGTGAAGAGCACAGCCTGGCAGAATATGACTATGAGAAAGGATGTCAGGGAATCAGAGAGACCTCCAAGGTCAAGTGCACAGGGCTGATGCTGGGTCCAGACTGAGAAGAACCTGGAGGCCTTTGCCAGCAGAGACGTTAGTGGGGTGCTGGCCTGCCCTAGCCCCGGCAGCTGGCACGGCCCCCCTGTAAAATGAGGGCAGCGTTAGAGGAGAGAAGCCAGAGGTGAGGAAGCCACTTGGGAGAATATTACAGCAATCACCAAGGCCGGAAGGATATTAGCAATGGAAATGATGGGTGATGTTAGGAATGAAGAATCCACAGACTTTGCAAGGTGACCTTGGGGAGAGGCTGCTCGGAGCTACCGGCTTATGGCTGTGTCCCCGGAGCCTGGTTATTACAAGTCTGGAAAACAAGCCAGTCCGGTCAAGATTAGTTATCTTATTTAGATTTTAGATGTATTTTACGTTTACAAGGCAGATTTTCGGCTGTAATTGCTGGCGTTTGAACCCGGCGTGTCTCCTGACAGATCTGGCAGTGCGGCGGCAAGCTCCTGTTCGTGCCCTGCTCCCGCGTCGGGCACATCTACCGCCTGGAGGGCTGGCAAGGGAACCCGCCCCCCGTTTATGTTGGGTCCTCCCCAACGCTGAAGGTGAGTCTTGCAGTTGGAAGGGGGCGGGAGATGGGCGGTCACTGACCTGTCTGCTCACTGAAGGGGGCACCGCTGACCCTCACGCTCCTTGCTGTCACTTCAGGGCAGACTTGCCACGAGACAGCTTGTTGTTTGAGATTAGTTATTGCACCCATTCGGATTAAGATTCCCATATGGAGTATTCTCTGTGAAGACACCCCACATTAATTTCAGGAAGACTGACGCAACAGCAGAGTAGCTGAAAGGAAAACACTACCGTCTGTTTTCACACATGAATAAAATTCGATTTTTGTTCAATTTTTAAAAATGGGTCCTGTGAGGAATCTATGCAGTAACCAGGCTCAGGTTTTGAGTGCTGTTTGCAGAGGGTTAGTATCTTTTGTCCCTCAAATCCAAGAAGCTGCACCCAGAAGCCCGTCCTCTGGGGGGGGGG